AAGATTTTGGAGACAACAGATATATTGAGAAATTGAAGCATGACAGGATTTGCCTTAATCTAGGCTTTTTCTTCTTCTTCTTCTTTTTTTCTTCCTCCAATGGCACACAATCACCTTAAGTTTTTTACCCACCCTCTTACCTACGGAGGTCAAAAAAATCGAATTAAGAAGCCAACCACCATCCCAACCATGCAGCCGTCTACCTAAATTAGACAACCAATCTTCTTGACTTGTTTCTTTAAACTTTCAATCGCATCCACCCATCTTCTTTCTCCCCTTCTTCCACATTGACACCTGCCTTTTAAGAAAGAGATATACTGCACAGAATTGCTTGCAATTTCTAAAAAAATTTCAACAAAATTAAAATCCCCTTGGGAATTGCCTTCACAAAGTCAACTGTTTTTATGATGGACACACAAAACTTTGAATTTTCTTTAAAACAAAAAAAGAATAGTGGGGATAGTCTGCCTCTAGAAGGATTTTTCAAAGTACAAATTAAAATATAATTATTATATTTTTTTAATATTGATTAATATTAAAAAATCAAAATTAATTTTTATTTAATTAATTTTATCTAATTAAATTGATATGCATGATTTTGGTAAAGAAATTAATCTTAATTTTTGTATTTTTAATATTAATTAATATCTAAATAATATAATAAATATACTCTTAAATTGTAATTTAAAACTCCTTTTAGAAGGACCATTGCAAACACAAATGACCCACTTTGCTGCAAGTTCATCAATTGGAATTCGGTCCCCTATCCCATTTATGCACTTTATCTTCGTTTCTTTGTTGTCCAGCCTTGCAACATGCATTAGCCAACAAAGGATAGGCCAAAAAAACCTTGGAAGCACATCATTTTTTTCACCAACCTGATCACTATTTCTGCGAAAAAAACTCAAAAAGTTAATGATAGCCAACGAAGAAAAAAAACCTGTTAGGTTAACTTAGGTTAGGATTGTAGGAGTGTAGAACTTAACTAATGGCATCATCCAATTTTTTTATTTTTTGAATCATTCCCAAGCTATAAAACCCCTCACGACCCTCACCCATTAATTCTCCTAAAATCACAAAATTTAATCCATCACTGAAGAAGAATGAGAAGGCTAGCTTTGCTGCATTTTAATTTCTCGTTTAGATTCTTCACGAGAGTTATGGCTGTAAACTTAAAAATAAAAAAAATAAAAACCGGCCCTACTACTAAAGAGGAAGAATGGAAGGAGAAAAAAAAACACCAACACGAATTGTGCATGTAAATCAATCTGGTTAAAAGAGAGGTACCACACCTTAGTGTTATAATTGATGCATCCACATAAATATATAGTGGCAACACGAAAAAGTGTGATGCTCATGTAACTTAATTAATTAATGCATTAAGAACGGGATTAAGATATAATTTATCCATTCTTGATCATGATTGATGTTCAATTTACATGTGGTCAACATGAGGATGAAACATCAAGAGTTCCATGGCTTCTCTTCTATTAAATATCAATAAAAATGATTAATTGTTTTGCATTTACTTGGTCTAATTTTGTTGTCTACATAAATGGATGCATGCGTCACGTAAACACATATGAAGTTTCCTCCACGAGATTTCCATTCAACTTAATTAATTAGTCTTAGTGATTTTTATCAATTCGTTGATCATGATGTTCAACCAACACATGAACAATATATATATATATATATATATCAAGAATTGATCCAACTTTTAAACTTCTACCAAATTGCAATATGAAAATTAATACTATTCCGGATCCCCCGCCGGCCGGCCCCTTTTTTTTTTCGCTTTTATCAAACTATATATAATTGTTGAAGTGGGAAAATTTCACATCGAGTATTAAAATAAGAAGTTTATGAGTTAAATACAAGAAAAGTTACTCCACCTATTATCAATTGGTTTTAGGTTGGATGCAAAACTTATGTTAAGCTTTCATATCCTGGTGCCTAAAACGCTTTTATGGTATCAGAGTTCAGGTGCTGTTTTGAGAAATCTGTTGTTAGCCCACCTAACAGGACTCAAAAAGTACTGGACTTGCATTTAAGGCTTGAAGAGTATCGAACCTACATTTAAGTAGCTTGTTAATCCGTGTGATAGAACCCGATATTCATAGCGAGTCTGCATATGAGGGGGGTATGTTGAAGTGGGAAAATCCTACGTCGAGTATTAAAGTAAGAAGCTTGTGGGTTAAATATAAAGAAAACCACTTCACCTATCGCGAATTGATTTTAGGTTGGATATAAACTTTATGTTAGACTCACATGTACAGTTTTCAACAATAATGTATTCCTTACCTAAAGCTTTTATGATAAATGTATGATTAGATTCTTGTTCACTCTATTTGATTTGATCGATTCAAACAACTTATAATTGATATTGTGTACATATATACAATAGTTAATATTTGTTATTATTTATAGTTGAAATACTATTAATAATTAAATATATATTATCTACCAATAATAAACTATTCAAAACAATTAAACCAAACAAACCATACCAATAAAATTAAAAACGTAATGCCACCCTAAGGTGAGTCGGTGACATTGTCATGGGTAAAAACATTACCACCTGCCTTCATGTGTGTGCCGATCTGCATTTGACTTCTGTTAGAACCCTTTTTTTAACCTAAGAAGCATTTAAAGAGAAGAGGAGTCAAAACTGCGTATGTGAAGAGAAACATTGTTTTTTATTTTTCATTTTGTCAATTCGTAATTCTAATCATCCCAGTTCCCTTAATAGGATCAGAATTCAGAAGAAAGAAGAAAAAAATGAATGACTACATAAGCATAGACGCTATAAATTGTTGGTCCGGGTTGCTCACCCAACCCTGACCAAAGCCCCACCATTTTCATTTAAAGACACATCTACACCTCTCTCATATTCAAAATCGAAATCCCCACCACCCCCCCATCCCACACCCCACACATATGTGATTTTCCCATAAAACAGATCAATTACATATCGATATCCCATAACATGTAGATGTAGTACTACTGTACTAGTGCTCATCACAAGACAACTCCATTCTCTTTGTGTCTTCGTTGTCTTGCGTTTTTTTTTACTCTATCTGTTTCCGTCTTGCTTCCTCACCTAAAATCATTTAATCCTCTTCATTTAATGCTTGAATTAAAGACCGTCTTTCTTTCCCTGCAGAATTAGGTGAAGATCATGGAAAAGAGTGTGAGAGAGAATGGTGGTTTTGAGGTTTTTTTTGGCTAAATTACTACTTTTCTTTCCGCCACAACCAAGTAGGGCTGTTTTTACCTTTAAAATGTTTCAACAACCTCTCGGCGCATTTATGATTCTGCCGTCCGATGGTTAGAGAGTGAGTCTCCCCTCTGAATATGTATGAGCGGAAAAAAGAGAGAGAAATTGCTGTATACTAGTATTCAAGTGAACAGTCTGTCCATAATTATTGCCCTACTTTATATTTTCACCTATATATCCCCTTTCTCTAATACTCCATTTCGTACTATCTCACTCTCTCCTCTGCCCTCCCTCCATCCCCGTTGTTTCCCTTTCTTTCTCTCTCTCTCTCTCTCTGTTTTTCTCTTTTGAGATCCTCCTAAACAATACCCAACACCCTGAAAAGTGTTTGATGAAGAAAACAACACCTCTAAGGTTCGACTTTCCAAGTTTTTTGAGTACCCATTTGGAGGTAGGCCTTGTTTTTTCCTTTCTCAGCTAAAAGTTTCCAGCTTTTTTTCCCGAGAAAATATTCAGGGATGGAAACGTCAACTGCATTGCTGCTTTTAGCAGCGGTGACGGCTTACCTACTTTGGTTCACCTTCATCTCACGGTCGTTAAAGGGTCCACGTGTTTGGCCACTATTGGGCAGTCTTCCGGGCTTGATCGAGAATTGCGACCGCATGCATGACTGGATCGCCGATAACCTCCGCGCGTGCGGCGGCACCTACCAGACCTGCATCTGCGCGGTGCCGTTTCTTGCCAAGAAGCAGGGTCTCGTGACTGTCACGTGCGACCCGAAGAACCTAGAGCACATACTCAAGACCCGATTCGATAATTACCCTAAGGGACCCACCTGGCAGGCCGTGTTTCATGATCTGCTTGGTCAAGGGATCTTCAACTCTGATGGTGACACGTGGCTGTTTCAGAGAAAGACTGCCGCACTGGAATTCACCACCAGGACCCTCCGCCAAGCCATGGCTCGATGGGTGAGCCGGTCCATCAAGCTCAGGTTCTGCCCCATTCTTGAGTCGGCTCAGCTCAATGGAGAAGCCGTTGATCTGCAAGACTTATTGCTTCGGCTAACATTTGATAACATTTGCGGCTTGGCTTTCGGGAAGGACCCACAAACCTGTGCGCCGGGGTTGCCGGAAAATGGCTTTGCTTCGGCTTTTGACAGGGCGACGGAAGCGTCGCTCCAGCGGTTTATTTTGCCGGAGATTTTGTGGAAGCTGAAGAAATGGCTGCGGCTTGGCATGGAAGTCAGCTTGAGCCGAAGTCTATCCCAGCTGGATGAGTATTTATCCGATGTGATCGATGCACGTAAGCAGGAGTTGCTGAGTCAGCAAAAGAGTGGGAACCCACATGATGACTTGGTGTCGAGATTTATGAAGAAAAAAGAATCCTACACGGATGCATTTCTCCAACACGTGGCACTCAATTTCATCCTAGCTGGACGTGACACGTCATCCGTCGCTCTCAGCTGGTTTTTCTGGTTGATCACCCAACACCCATCAGTGGAAGTGAAAATCCTGCGAGAAATCTGTACCGTTCTGATGGAGACACGTGGACGCGACACGTCAACCTGGGTTGACGAGCCGCTAGCGTTCGAGGAAGCTGACCGGCTCCTTTACCTCAAAGCGGCATTGTCTGAAACCCTAAGGCTGTACCCTTCAGTTCCTGAGGACTCCAAGCACGTCGTCGCCGACGATGTCTTACCCGACGGCACATTCGTTCCTGCAGGATCATCAATCACGTATTCTATTTACTCAGTCGGGAGAATGAAGACCACATGGGGCGATGATTGCATGGAGTTCCGTCCTGAGAGGTGGTTATCGGCGGACGGAAAGAAATTCATAATGCACGATTCTTACAAATTTGTAGCGTTTAACGCCGGACCCAGGATTTGTCTGGGGAAAGACTTGGCGTATTTGCAGATGAAGTCGGTGGCAGCGGCGGTGCTGCTGAAGCACAAGCTAAATTTGGCCACGGGACACAAGGTGGAGCAGAAAATGTCGCTAACATTGTTTATGAAATACGGACTCAAGGTGAACATTCAAAGCAGAGATCTAGAAGGAATTGTGGCCAAGATTAAGGAGGAGGAAGGGTTGCAGCAGGGTGAGGTTAACAGCGAACTTTGACGGAGAGGGAAAGAATGTTGCGGTTGGTTTGAGGTAGATTCAAGGGATTGTTTGGGTGTGAATATTTTCAGGGCACGTGAGAGGCTCGTGCAGGAGACCATGGAAATTATGATACACAGAATATGCCTTCATCATAGTAGTAGATAAAACAGAGGTATTTTTACATTATTATTCCTTTTACCTTTTCTTGTAGGAAACCTCTGCGAAAATTGTTTTTCTATAAAATTCTTTATCCTTTTGCTTGTTTTATGTCTAACCTTTAATTCTATTATATTAAATTTGTTATTACTAAATATTTTGATCTAGTCCAAGTGCCATGCTACAATAGGGCACATAAATTTCAATTCAATTGAAATGGAATGTCTTTCTCTTTGATGTTTAGAAATAATAATAATAAGAAAATTTCTTGAATTTTTAGTTTTCAAGACTGATGGAGTCATGGACCAGGGTGTGGGCATTGGCCATTGAGAATTTCCTTTTGTTAAAAAAGTCTATTGCGTGCATAGCTCGCCAAGTTAATCAATAGACTAATCTTTTCCTGCTTGATTAGGCATTGATTTTAATATTCATAGCTAAAGTGAGATGATGTATAATAAATTCTTATTATGGAACAAGAAGATATTTCTGGGATCATGATAAATTTATACATGCATGTAAAATGGAGAAATTTTAAGATTATACCTTGTAAAATTACAGCCAGCTCAAATGTTTGTTGCAAGTACATTGAGGGCCTCAGAAGTTGGTTTTTGTTTAACCAAGGCGATTAGCCATTTTCTATACGATGTGAACTACTTTCATTTTTTCAGTGGTTAAAGTAAGCTCTTTTGCTTTTTATCAACTTCATTTTTCTAGTCGAGAACTTTCTCTCCTGTTGAGAAGAAGTTCCAGACCAATGTGCCAATGATGTACAAAGCAACCGCTACCTTGAAAACGTCGTCCCAAGAACCTGAAGAAATGAGTTCAAGGTTCTATGTAATTAACTTGAGAAACAATGCCTAATAAAGAGTAAACCAGAGGTCTAGTTGTACCTCGTTGAAGTATGTAGCCGGTTGCAGCCGTGCCGAAAACACCTGCAAGCACTCCTGCTGTATTTGACAGTCCTAACAGAACCCCCTATGACGCACGATAAAAGCATTTTTATAAGGACTTCATGTGGGCATAGATCATGTTTGTTTTCAGGAAATTGTAGTAATACAAAACTATGGAAATGAATTTTCTACTAGAAAACCGCAAAATGTCATTTGTTAACTATGGTTTACTAGTTCTGGTACACTATAGGCCCCCTCAATCTTCGTTTTGAAAGCACCTATAGAAGTTTGCTTAACGTTGTTAAATTCTATAAACAATATAAGTTTCAATTCAAGCATACTATGGCTAGAAATTTTTGCAGAGAGCTAGCACAAGTGATGTGTTCTGCAGTTCATGTCCACTATCGTACCAATGAATGACAAAAGGGTAGCAATAACTCACAGCATAGCGTGGGCCAATGTCTTGGTGATTAGAATAAAGACCTGATTGTGAGAATGCGTCAGAGCCCTGTCAAAAAAAGAAAAATTCGTGGTTCAATTTCCTTACCAGATTCGGACAAAATATAACTCTCGAAAATGCTTTGCAATGTCAATCAGCATCTCTTTATTGAATGCAGTGGTTGAAGTTTCTTGATAGAACTAGATTATTTAGCTGTGGAATGAAAAGTTTTACTGCAATATATGAAGTATCAGTTAATTCTCTGTGAATAGTTCCCACTTCCAGTCTATCATCTCACTCAAGTTCTCAGACCACCAGGATGCTTGATTCCACTTTAGGTGGATTTGAAAGGTGTCGGAAGGATATGGGTCAATGTCAAACCAAGATGGACATGGAATCCTAAATTAGGACAGATAACTTCCAATTTATAGAAGTCTAAGATACACTAAACACTAAATTGACTAGACGTCCATGTCTCATTTATAACAAATTGCACAAATTGCCGGGTCACAATCTAGATTTTTATTATTTAACATTTTGGACTTGTTTATAGAAGGCTAAGAATGGGGTTTGATAAAAAACAAGAGTTTTTCTGCACACACGTTACATCTAACAAGAATGCAGAACTTTGTTACTGACAGTAAAGGTATGACTGGATGTGGAAACATCAAATAAGGAACGGGTTTGGAAGGCAAATTGAAATCAAGTGAGACTGAATCAAGTAGAACCATACCTGACTGCAAGCCATACATAACACTGCCATAGCAGGAGTTCTGACATGGCTTAACTGAGTGAGAAAGAAGGCTGGACCCAAAAACCCGATTGATTGCATAATCTGCAAATTTCGAAGATTTGAAGAATTGTTATTACAAAGAAGTAGAAATGATGTGGCACTCATGGCTTATTTTACTCTTATCAAGTTTAGCTGAATAAACAGATGTTTATCCATCCCATCTTGAAAGAAGTTCAGGCTGGAAGGGCTTAACAAAATTCAGTTTATCAATTCTTTGAATATAAAAATGCATCTCAACAATCCATCCTAATCATGTTAATTTATTTAGTCAATTTAGTTTATTGACACATGAAAGAAATTTTTGCACTGTATAGAATATCAAATGAGATGAGATGTAGCATTTTTATGATACCTTTAGCAGGCAAGACCCATACAGACATGAACAATGCACAATTAAATAACACATGGAGTCGTATCAATATAAATGCACGTACAAATAATGTAAATATTCAAGTCTATGACCATCTAGGTTCCAGAAAACATCTAATAAAAATTCAGAACAGTATCAGACTATCAGTTCTTGCCTTACGGACTGCTGTAATGGAAAGACCTCTGCTTACAAGTGTGTCTGCAATCCAACCTCCAATATTTGCAAAGACAGCCATGGTTAACCATGGCAAGACACAGAAGAGCCCAGACTCGGTGAGATTAAACTTCAAAACCTGAAAAATGATTAAGTTTATAAGATAGCCATAGGCTACCCCAATTATCATGCCTCCAAAGATTCAGAACTCAAATGCAACTGGAATATAGTGGCAGCAACAGAAATACTTTCCACAAAAAACATGCTAAAACCAAACTTATAGGACTGAATTTCAATTGGAATATTGATAACTAATGGACCTGCAACCAGAAAAGAAAATAACAATTTTTAACTAGATTGTGATGGATGGAAATTTGGACTTGCAATCAAATTTGGGCAAAAAACCAAGGTTGAAGAGGAAAATATCAAATAAAAACGCTATTCTTGATTACTCATTACCATTTGGTTTTTAGTGTTTAAAATTCTAATGCACAACATATTATGATGAAAGGAAGTGGAAATTTAAATGCAATTTAACAGCACTCCATTCTGGAAACGGGTAAGACAATTCAGCACCAAATGCCTTCAAAAATAATCAACCAAGGAATCCCTCCCCAGAACTGGTGGCAATCACTACTAGACTACTAATTAGGAAGGCAATCAAGGGATTAGTTGCCACTTGACACAACAAATGCAACATATACAGAGGCATTTAAAGATATATAATATATGCCTCATTGGTTTAAACTAGGAATATGAAATAGAATTCAGATAAAAACAAGATCAATACCTACATAAAATTCAGATTACAGAAAGTATTAAATTTTGTGTGCTGCTATAATTTGGAGTGGATCAAACTGTTAAAATTTCTTAGAAGAATCATTCTTTCCTCTTAGGTTTTGGCATTAACAGTGGACAAAAATCACCAATTTCATGATGGCTTAAATACCTGATTGTAGTATGTAGGCATCCATGTCAAAAGAATAAAAGTCCCCCAATTATGGCAGAAGTGAGAGATTATGAGAGCCCAAACTGGTGCTTTCGATAATATTAATCTCCATGGAATGACTGATACACATTCCTTTGACATGCTGCCACCCAAGATGACTCTTTTTTCTTGGGCAGTAAGCTCTGGGTCTTCTTTTGGTGAACTATATGCCTGGTAAGTAATCAATAAAAATTAAAAATGGAGTTAAATTCCAAGGCTATTCCCACACTTTACTTTTTCTATATATAACCATGTCCACAACCAGACTCTTGTCTAATTCCTTTAATAAGATCAGCAATCAAATCAATTTAGTTAGAGTGATGGTAGACAGGTCACAGGATCATGTAAGGACATTGAGTTGGTCCATTTGTTTCGACCCAAGATGAATGAAATGTTGTTCAGAGCAGTTAAACATGACTTTCTACCTCTGCTGGATCTTAGAGCCAAATCACAAAGATGATTTACAAAGAGGAATTTCTTTTTCCTTGGAATAAATAAATTGTTAGGGAGAAAAGGCTGATGGAAGCACTATCTCACCTTTCTTAGCCATAATGCAAACCAGATACTCCCAAGGGATCCAAATGAGTAGAACACAGATGACCACCCAAAGTTGTGGATTAGAATGGGAGAGAAGGCAAGCCCTGTAACAGAACCAAGATACATGCCACTGTAGACTAGTGCCAAGGATCTGCTTCTCTCTGACACTGGAATCCACTTAGAGAGTATGTTGTTCATAGCAGGCATAGCCACACCCTGGAAGGTATAATATAATACTAATTAGGAGATACTATATAAAGAATAAGATTATCGAATTCCAACCAATCAAATATAAATAGAAATTTAGCTTTAATGCCTTTGTGGTGACAGTTAAGAAAAGTTTATAGTGAACTTCATTTTCCTACTTGGCTACTTTCCGTGCTACACAATCCATATTTTCCATAAATGCCTAGAGTCAATTAAAGCTTGATTAGCATTTCAGACAGGAAAAGGTGTTTCAGACTTTCAGTGAACACATTTTTTTATTTTCCAATTGCCCATAAAGTACATAAAGCAAATCCTGAAGCAGCACAACCAGCACCAACCTCACCAATTCCCATAAAAGCACGCATGATAAGCAAACATGGAAGTCCAACTCTTGCAGCAATAGGTGTCAAAACTGTAGCTATTGACCACCAGACAACTCCAAAACCCAGTACCAGCTTTCCACCAATTTTATCTGCCCATATGCCTCCGAGGATCTACGTGCCAAAAGAAAATAAGAGCATAGGGTAGATTAATCTGATTATGAGAATAGTTCTAACCTGAAGATAAAAATGTGTATTCCTAATGGATTAGCAGCTAAAGCAAGCATTTTTGTTTCAACCATACCTGAGTGAGCAAATATCCCCAAAAAAAGGAGGACTGAATTAAACCAACTGTTGCGCTGTTCCAGTTAAACTCTTGTGACATAGGTAGTATTGCAATGCTCATATTGACCTAAAAAAGAATTTAAGTCAGCTAGTTGATACACAAGATTTTTTATCAGCAAGTACATAATCTATTACAAGATTAATCTTTACCATACTGAAGCATTTTCATTAACAGCATGTGAAGATAAAATTTATCTTATGAATTAAAAATGCTAAATGCAGCCAAGGTATCTCGAAACAGCTTCAATTATAATTTGTGAAGAAAAACTATACATTGCATGTAGAAGATGCATAATAAGTTTCCAAAAATTAATTCCATGGTTCTAAAAATAAAGAAGAAAGTTGCTTACACGATCCATGTTGCACAGTAGAAAAGCTGCAAAACAAAGCAGTACAATAACCCAACGCTTTGGAAAACTTTCCCACCAAGGTGTTGTTTCTTGCACATTTCCCTCAAACAGAACAGTCTCATTTGACCCATCTGATGATGCAAGTGAAGCTGCCTCTTCTCCTGTTATATCATACTCTTCAGACTTGTAGTAAGCACAGGTTCTGTTTACCTTGACATGTTGATACTCCTTGTGTTGCCCATCGCTTGCACTAATCTTATCCTCAGCTATTGGTTGAAGCCAACTACCCAGTGAAGAGTCTGAAGCAAGAGAGCATCCACATCTTCCTCTGCTTCTACGTTGAGAAAGTGTGAAAGACCTTTCACCTGAGTGCAGGCAGATTGAAACTGGGTGGTCCCTCCAATGAGAAGAATTTGCTTTAGTGGTAGCACAAGGAAATGAGCTACATGAATTTGAAGCAATAAAACTATTACCCCTTCGATTACTAAACTTTTGATAGAATATGGTCCCCTGCACAAGTTTTGCAACAGCAATGGCTGATTGTTCTCCTCTGTAATGTGTGATGGCAAGTTCAGCTTGACATACTTTCCCTGTCCAATTCAGAAAGTTACTAAAAATGCTTCACCATGAATTAGCAAAATCTATATGCAAAAGGTCCATACTATGACCATAATCATTTTAATGTTACCTATTAATTGCAATAAATCCAAATACGATTGTTATCATAATGGAAATTAACTAAATCAGAAAACAAACAAATGATTGCTCTATAAAATGACAGACCAACACGTACATTTCATGAAGACGAAGTAAGCTACGGAAAGTGGGGGATTTTTCGAAGCAAATTGAGATGGAAATTTTACTCTAGTCTGACCTCAGACCAAACCAAAATAGCTAGTGGCATGCGCTCTTCAAAACAAACAAATCCATGAAGAGATTACAGGAAGAAACATCATAAAGAAAAATGACGAAGTTGCATCCAGGAGAATCATTACGGTTTGGAATTCAATAATTGGAAACATTTTATAAATTCAAATTTTATCTAGATTATTCAACAGACACCAAATGTTCAAACTTCAAAGAAAAATTAACAGAGAAAACTCATATTCTTAGATTCTTTAAACTCATATAATTCGATGGAATTTCCAATTTCAAAAAATCTAGTCTACTCTCACCACTTAAAAACTAAAATCAAATTCCGCAAAGACAATAACAATCAACTGAAAATAATAATATTATTAATCAAGGCGAAAAAATGGAGCCAAAGAGTAAATTAATCTAACTTGCAAGTGGAAAATCCCTGAGAAAGCAGAAGAAAAATTTTTTTTTAAAAAAAATTGCAGCTACCGATTTCGAGAAAAGAAAATCATTCAACGAGACGAGAAACATTAATTCAATCCTTAACGCATTTGAATCAAAGCAGCAGAGGCACACCTGAGCCGATAAAGGAACCGAGATTCCGATTCGAAATCAAACCGCCGATAGCCATTGCTGCAAATGAGGTTTATCTTCCGAACACTGAATCGCCAAGAGCTACTTATACCATTTCACAGTCGAGGACGAGAGGTCGAGAGCTGAAATCGTCGAGCTCGTCGCCGTCCTCAGCTTCCCCTGCGCAGAGTCTCGCTCGGATTCTAGTGAGGAGAAAAAAAGGATAAACGGAAGTTTTTTATTTGATTGATGGAAATTTGGTGTGAATTTTTCGCCATTTTTTTTTCAAAGCGGGAAAAATATCGGTGGTGTCCATACAGGGTAGAGAGTACGACACGTGGCGTATCGTCATCGGGAAGTGAGGTTCTCAACAGAAGCGGACTTTTGTTGTACAAATGCCCCTCCATGCATGCGAAATTCCGATGGATTTGGTGCGGTAAAAGAGTAAATATCTTGTGTTAAGGGGTGTTTTTGGGAATTTGATTAAGAATCAAATTTGGATTCAGACAACCACCCGTCGGAAAAGTGTTGAAAAGTGGGAAAGCGAAAATAATTTTTTTTTTCTTTTAATTATATTTTCAAAAATTTTTTAAAATTATCTGAATATCACCTGAGGAATATTCCTAATTTCCTATCATACAAAACATGTGATATTTTCCGACGAAAAGTAGAGCAAGTTTGCAGGATTTGGGCCCAGTTTAGTAATGCCAAGGCCCAAGCGGGGCAACCGGCGAAGCACAAGGAGCAACTAACAACTAGTTAAAGGAGGTGTTTCATTATTTTTGGAGGGGCAATGATACATAGAACGAAAACATGAGACGAGTTCATGGGATCAATACCATAACAAGTCATGTTGTTAGTATATTGATTTTAAAAAATTTAAATCAAGTTATTTTTATTGGTTTATCTTCTATCTCCTCTTTGTTTTTTTTTTTTTTCCTTTCAAAATCTCCTATCTTTTTCTCTCATCTCCTTTTTTCGCCAAGCTTCTCCTCTAATGGACTTTGCTCGACTCAAGGACCAAGCTTAACTCTATCTTAGCAATTGAAATCCCATAGCCATGGTTTTAAAATTTTCAAAAAAAAAAAAAGAACAAGAAAAACCTAAACCCTAACTGTTTGGTAAAATTGAACCCTAAATGGTAGAAACTCTAAATCTATAGTTAGTCTTGTAGGAGAGACGAGAGAGATAGAAACAAAGGATGAAGACTTGAAAGAGAGAATTTGGATTTGGATGAACCCAAAACAAAGAAAAGATCGCACAAACATGGAGAGAATGTGAAAAAGTAAGTGAGACATATATGGATTTTATTTTATTAATATATTGTTGAAGTGGCAGGTCACATCAGATTCGTCCTATGAAATCGTCCCCCTTATTCAACTTTCTTATCTTTATTCTTTTTGGAGTTATTATTGTCATAATATGACATTATATAAAAAACAATTTCGTGTTTTGTAGTTAAGATTGTATTGAATTGTAAAAGAAAAAATAATTAAACGAATTAAGGCTCTTAAATTTAAAGGCTTGCTCTTTATTTAGCCATTACTATTATACAATTTAATTCAATACTATTTTTTCTGAAAAAAAAAAAAAGAAAAAAAGAAGAGTAACAAAAGCGTCTTGGCTACCATTACGTATTAGACTTTCTCTTAGGTGGGAAGCGAATTTTAACTCTTCAATATGTAGTTCTCAAGTGATTTTCTTTTTGTAATTACTGAACTTTAGGAAAATTATTGTCCAGCAATGGACCATACAGCACTAGTCTGGGAAAAGGAGTGATATTTAATAATGGGCTGTTCTTACAGATTTTTCTTACTCATCTCGTTCTTCATAATAACAGTACCCTTTTACCATGTGGGCTCTTCTTCTTCTTCTTCTTCTTCTTTTTTCTTCTATAAAAGGTATAGCCCTATCGCGACTAAAAGGAAGGCCCAAACTCAGTACCAGACTACCACAGTAGTTCATTACATACGAAAATTGATTTGGTTTAAACAATTAGACTGGCCTAGAAAAAAGGAGCCCAATATACACATTCACTAGTCATCCAAAAAATCAGACCCTTACGCGAGCTTACTAGGAAAAGCCCATTCTGAGGTTCGACTGTCAGATGACTCAGGTCCCGGGGGCACTGCTCTTCAGTAATTCTCTTCTTTTTGCATGTTAAAAAGAGAAAAAAATAAATAAATAAACAAAACAAAACAAAAACAAACAAACAAACAAACCTGAATCTCAGGCTGACTGTATTTGTTATAGGTAATTATCAATAGAGGGTTGGATTCTCTTAATATTAAAGTCTTAATCTTTTATTAATAGTTAAAAGAAATGCAAGGGTTTTATTTTTAATTCTCTTAAAAGTATATATAATTCTCTCCTTTTTCTTTATTTTTACTCATCCACTTCAATAATTTTCATGAGTTAATTCAAAATCCAAAAAAGAAAGAAAAGTAATTTTCATGAGTTAATTCAAAATCCAAAAAAGAAAGAAAAGTAATTTTCATGAGTTAATTCAAAATCCAAAAAAGAAAGAAAAGTAATGTTGTTAGTTGTTCTTTTTTTACAAAACCTTACATTAAACTCCCAAATTTATTTAGATTCTTGATTAAAACTTTAAATTTTTATGAAAATAAATAAACTATTGAATTTAGCAATGTAGGCAATTTAATCTATTTTCTTTACAATAAACTTAATACCTATTTATATATCATTTCATTGCTACATGATTGGTATTGATTTTGTTAATGCAAGTAAAGTACAAATTGATATTAAGTTTGCTATAAAGAAGATGGTTAAATTATTTAGATCCACAAATTCAATGACTTATCTGCTTAATAAAAGTTTAAAGACTTAATTAAGAATTTAGGGTAAATTTAGGGGCTTAACATAAGATTTTGCTCCTCTTTTTTTTTTTTCTTTTTATGTATTATTATGACATCATTGTTCTATTTACTATTGATTTACATGGAGTTTAGAGGGATGTCTCTTTTCCTCCATAGAGTTAAACCAAACCATTCTCATTTTAGCCTAATTACGGCATCAATTATTTTTTATACATTCATTAGAAAAATAAAAAAACAAAAATGGAAAAACAAAAAACAAAGAAGTAACTCAGTCAATTAATTTTTAATAACTTAAATAGTATCACCTCCTTCCGTAGGAAATAAGAGGTCTTAAATTTGAATTTCATAATATAAAATAAAAAATAAAAAATGATTATCTTTTATTGTATAATTAAATATTTAAAAAAAAAACTGTCATCAATTAATTAATATAAAAGGAAGGATCGGGAGCGGGCAGTACCTAACAGGCAACAGCTAACCCAAACCAACCCAACAAGAGGTAGGGTTCACGTCACGTGTGTGTGCGGTGACGTTTTATTATCGGACCCTCGCCGCGGACAGCGATGTGGTGTGCCCTATGGACACAGAAAAGGGTCTCCCGCATATTTTATATCCTTCCTAAAATGTAAGAATTACTTAAAATAAATAAATAAAAGATTTAATAATAGTAATTACTGTATATTATTATTCCCTTCCTTTCTCTCTCTCTC